ATGACATTGTCGACTTTGTTACTCATGCATTTGTTTTGTTGTTCGCAGATGATTTAAAACTCATTTTGAGAATCACGTCACCGAATGATGCCCGCTTATTCCAAATGGCCATTGACCAATTGCACGAATGGTGTATGCTCAACAAGCTGTACCTTAATCTGAAGAAATGTTTCGTCATGACGTATGCTAAAAACATCACCGTACGAAGATATGAATACACGATAAACAATGGGCAGCACATGTTTGGTAGAGTTGAGCTACACAGAGACCTGGGGGTCATTTTTGACGTGAAACTCACATTCGCCAACCACATCGATACAACAGTAGCTAGCGCCTACGGAGCATTAGGTTTTATTAAGCGGACACTGAAACACAAGTTTACTATAGAATCAGCAAAACTGTTATACTGTGCCTTAGTTCGATCGAAATTGGAGTATGCTAGTGTAGTGTGGCATCCGTATCACCAGTCATACATTAACAAAATTGAATCAGTACAGAAAGACTTTGTAATCTGGGCACTTAGGGAAATTTACCAAAGAGATGCTAACAACAGATTGCCATCGTACCAATTAAGATGTGATAATTTGAATATTCAACCGCTTTGGAGGCGGCGTATAAATGCCTCAGTATTTTTAATTTATGATCTCTTATTAGGAAAGTTGATTAGCGCAGCACTGAGAGAAAAAATTGTATATACTAGACGAGTAGACAATAGGAACCAAAGAAATGTGAGAAACAGAGATCTAGTTAGTATTGAGACTTATGGTACTGACTACGCTCGTAACCAACCGTTTATTTTAGCGTGTAGGTATTTCAATAAAGTAAGACAAACGTTTTTAGACTCAGCATCGAGACAAATATTCATTAGAAATGTAGCAAATTTAGACAACAATGTATTTGAGGAACTATATGTTTAGAGGTGGTGAACACAATCGGTCGCCGCAGAACGCCACTTCGAAGTCATTAGGGCTGGTGGCTAGGTGATCCGATTCGGGTGTGTCACTGCTTGTGTAAAATTATGGAATGTGTACAAATTGTATTATGCTATTCAGTCTGTGATTAGACGGTGAATAAATAAATAATAATAATATCCAATTGAAAATGGACATAATTTCCCCACGTATTTTTCATCGAATAATTGTACATAAATAATTAAGGCTATTAGAAGCATTTAGCATTGCAACGACGGCATAATGACTGCAAAAGTCATCATTTGATTTATTTCATACAAAAAAATAAATCAATGAAAAGTTTTACGTCTATTCAGTTGAGCCACAATTTTCAAGGTGAGAAACACCAGCAAATTTCAACGGGAATGAGAATTGTGTCGATTGATCTATTGGAGGTGCACGCGGTGCCGACGGTGATACCGTCGTGTTGCATTTACTCCAACCGACCCAAAATTCCAAGAATTCTGGGCTAATCGTCACATTTCTCATTCTCCATCTCTTCTTCAATGTGCCGATGTCCCAATGGTTTATGCATATAACAATGGAGATGATAATTCCCCATAGATTTTTTTGGATTTTGGGGGAATTTTGTCTGAAATTCTGTGGAATTATGACCGGGGAAGTTATGCCCTGTAGCCCTAAAAATGACTCTACTTAGTCTAGTTTTTGACGAGGAATCCAAATCTGATCATTGGATGCACATAAAATAGTGATTTGTTGGCTTGAGCGGCTCGAATACACTCGAAAATGGCCAAAAAGTCGCCATTTTACGCTACGTATAGCTGAATAAGTCCGATTTTATTCGAATTTGAAACGTTTGAGGAGCTATTTTCACTTAATTTTTGACGTAAAATTGATTTCCGCTTTCATTTTGTACAGATTTATGTGTCGTAAATTGCGTCTGCCAATGAGAAAATTACGCCCATGAGCTTCGGTTTAACAGTGATATTACCTCACTGAGCAAATAATTTCTGCCTTTGCTGCCTTTTACTTCTAGTGTGATCCCTTACGGACATTTTGGGCACCTACATGGCCAAATCGAGTGATGTTTTCACATATATTTGGCCTCATATTCGCTTGGTACAGATTTACAGGCAATAACATATTATTAACTATACTTAATAACATAATAATAACGGCCGATATATTGGTCCAACATAACATAATAATAACGTTATTAAGATTCAGCATAATAATAACATAATATGTTATGCGTTATATCGGGTGTTATCTTAATAAATCCTAAAATTCGGCCGTAATAACATTTTATTAACTATAATAATAACATCCGATATGAATATATGACTTATTTGTATTTTTTCAGAAAAGTGGTTTATTTTGAGACTATGTTACAATTTGGATGGTTTACGATATCTCCCAATATTTCCGCAGAAAATAACTTTTTACCAAGTTACCTACCCAAAAAAATGGATACTTGGTCGAATTTTGACCTACGAAGGCGACCAAATCGCGTTGGAATGGTTCCAAATCAACTTATTTTCATGTAATTTTTCACGATAAATCCAAATAACCTAGTCTAAGTGCATGAAAAGTTGTTATTTTTCGAGATATTTCAACCGATAGTCGGAAAAAGTCATCAAAAAATGATCCAGACAAAAATCTAGTAGGCAGAGTTTGCTAACGTTGGTATTATCACAATTGGCCTGTAGTTCGATGCCATGCTTTTTTTACCAGATTTAAAAATCGGTACTATTCTCGAGTTTTTCAAAATGTTTGGCACAATTTCAATCGGTATACTGGTATTGGTTGCATGGATAACAGCTTCACAACGTCCAAGGTCACATGGTCCAGCACTTTTTCTCCCTTTTTGCTGCGCCGCTGGTAAACTTTTCTTTGAAATATGTTAAAAGTTTCAATCGTTTTATTAACTCATATGAATTGCTTTCAGCCGTGCTGCTGTACTTTTGGGTCGTTCGATTTTCCCTTTACAAATCGATGCGAAAAACGATAGCTGATACGGGTGAAGAAGGAACAAGAATTGCACTCAACATCGTGCATGGAGTTCAGAGTCATTTCAAAACATCTTTTAATATTCTTAAAGAATTTTACCTGAATCAGCCAGAGCCATGAAACCGAACTGTCAAACTACAACGGGGACCGCGTAGTCGGTTGTCATTCGTTGCGGAACGCGCTAAAAGTATGCATAAGTACATGAGTACATATTTCAAGCATTCTGGTTAAAAAATATTTCAATTATTTATAAAAATATACCTAGTGTATTAATATGAAAACCCATTTTTAATAACATTTTAGAAACGTTTGAAAAAATACCGAAAAAGAATATGAACTTTCTTTTTTTTGCTCAGAAATTCTTTGCTAACATTTTTCTTGTTTTTGATTGACAAAGTGAGGTTAAGTATCTACTGACATGTTCAATGTGTAGAACAAATTTGTGCACTCGGTGGAACAAAGCCATTGTGTGTTTAAGGAGCCACTCTATTCCCACGGCTCCTGAAACACATTTTCAAGCGCACTTTGTACGAAACGAACGTAAAAAATGAGAAAATTGAATTAATTGATTTCAAAATTCATTTGAATATCAGCAAATCTAAAGAAAACTTAGATAAATATGTTCATGTTGGAAACATTTTTCTAAATTTGATAATGTGGATGTGTCATCCAAATCATTCATTGCATTTAAATAGGAAATAAAGAAACAACATAATTTTACACAAATATTCATTTTCCACTTGATTTTATCATTTTTATTCGCTCCATGAATAATATACGTTCACGAAAATACGTTGTCTTTTTCAAACATAGTAGTTCAAATTCAACGAGTCGTTCTACGAAGGTGCACTTAAGACTGTCTGGCGTGTATTTAATTTGTACTTTATTCTGACAGCCGCGTTGTAATTGATGATGACAGTTCGGTTTCGCCCCTCTGGAATCAGCTTTAATAACATTAGTCTCAGTGCAACTAAAGCGGTTGAATTTATTCGTAAGCAACACAGTAGCGAATCGAATGTAAATTATATGTATGTGTAACATACGCGGCTGCTCGTTGTTACTTGTTATGTCTGCATACGGTTCAAATGCTAATATACCAAAGATTTACAAATTTAGAAAAACAAGTGTCCTTCGATATAATGATTTTAGATTAAGAAGCAACGTGTCAATTTTCAATTTTACACTTCACTTGAGCATTGAATATTTTCCGAGGGGTAAATCACTCGAAACATAGTAATTGCACAGAAAAACGAATTGCAATTGTAATGAACTGAACGAGGACTCTTATATATTCAACGAAAAAAGTAGTGGCAAAAGTAAGGCATATGCGCGTCTACAAGCGCGTCTTACGAGCGATTATGAATGAACGTATTGAGAAGAAGTGTCGCCAATGTGTTTGTATTGTATACAAATATAGCACACTCAATATTGTAAGGCACTCACTCAACACTACGTTCATCCATAATCGCTTGTAAAGCGAAACATGTTCAATCGTGTTCGTGTTTGTGTTTGTGTGCATTGTTTTTCAACAGTTTACACACATGTTTTTTTTGTGCCCAATCCATTGGTGTTATCGCCACATCGAAATTCGAGCTCCTTATTACCTAATTTGCACTATGTGATAAATACGAGTGACGTCACCGAAAAATATTGTATGAAAGAGTGCCCCACGAAAAATGTTCAATTTGAATCGCCTCGTAAAATTTTTTTCAGTAAAAGTGGTACATGAATTTTTTTTTGCATGAAAACAAATTCATGTGTCGTTTATTCAGACAGTATTTTTTTGGGGCACTTTTACTGAAATTTTTTTTTCAGGGGCTCTTCATTTTACAAAAGAATTACGTTCCATTATTCCGCTTGCCCATTCATATATTATTTAACTTAAGTTAAATTACTCCGAAGCTACACTCTTTGTCCACTATATTTTTAAATTAGCATATAGATAGCGTTGCATAATGATAATTCAAATTCAAGTTAAAAATGTACTGGACAAAAGGTGTTACTTCGGAGTCATTTAACTTGAGTTGAATTCATATATTTGTATCGGTGAGCATAAAAATGGAAATACAGAAGTGTTATAACTGAAGCGCAACATGAAATTTATTTCTTAAAAACGTTAATGAATCCTCGCTTCAATAGAAGCGTAACATCAAAAATGTGAATTTTGAATGTAGTTTTTTGTGTTTTTCGCGAAAATTGTGAGAGATAATGGGTTAGTATGTTCAGCAAAGTTTTGGGGCTTGACCAATTCTATAACTTTGCTGAAGATAACAAATCGTTTACTCTTATCATTTTCATAGAAAAAAATTTCGTTTGTTCCATGTTAGGTGACATTATTGATGATAACTCAATTTGCCGCCACGAGATATCGTTCAAAATTGGCTGAGAGTCTGGTTTCATCGTCATGAAGCTGCCATTGAATTTTCAGAACGGTTTTCTAGATGTGAAAGGAGTTACAGCGCCATATGTGGTCAGAAAAGTCATTCTTTGAAAATTTCTTCGTTTGTTCCATGCTAGGTGACATTGGTCCACCATATGTGTGATAGTAGGTAATGTAAGTGTCTAAATCGGTAGAAAATCACATTTTCTTTGATTTGGGAATAGGGATTCTCAATATGTTGATTTTCTGAGGACTTGGACTGAACAGGTCAACTCCCTTGTTACTAAATTTTTTTGCCTTTTGTTGGTCATCACTTTTCGAGTTTTTTCCATGATTGGTCGACCATATGGGTGTTAGTAGATAATGTAAGTGTCTTAATCGGTAGAAAATCACATTTTCTTTGATTTGGGAATAGGGATTCTCAATATGTTGATTTTCTGAGGACTTGGACTGAACAGGTCAACTCCCTTGTTACTAACTTTTTTTGCCTTTTGTTGGTCATCACTTTTCGAGTTTTTTCCATGCTAGGTGATATTTTTGATATAACTCAATTTGCCCACACGAGATATCGCTCAGAATTGACTGAGAGTCGTGTTGCATCGTGATTAAGCTACGTTTAAATTTTCAGAATGGTTTCCTTGGGTATATACCAAAAATCTACTTTCTGATTTTTGCAACCTGAAAGTTGTATCTGCCAACACTATTCGAACACTTATTATAACATATTATGGTTTACCAGTACTAGCTTCGGGCAGTGCTGATGACATGGACCTACCTAAACTTTCTTGCACTGTGATATCGATTTTCATAATTTTTTTTTCAATTTTTCTCGATTTTGTGCCGCTCTCGGGTGGGATTACGAATTGTGTGGTAAACGGCACAAATTAGGGGAGATCAGCCAGATCATGAAAATGTTGAAATCTTCATTTGAACTGCTGACGTCACGGAGCTAAATATTGACGCGGAAAATGACCATTCCGGAGAATAACAGCAGAAGTGAAAGTTCACCGCGTGTAAAAAGTTATTGCTAAAAATTCAAACGCGGTATAAATCAAGTATTTTCTCTCATAATTTTATATTCCATGATTTATGGATTGTCACCGTGCTTCATTATATTGATTGGATGTCGTTTTGATCCAAGTAGTTCCAAAGTAACTATCAAAAATATAAAAACAAACTATAGGTGATAAATTGTAAAAGGGATTTTTCCTGTTATTTACACCTCATACTCAATAAAAATAAAATAAAATATATTTTAATCATATATTTTGTTCGTCGCAAAGATGAATATAATTGATACTAATGAGATAAGGGATTTGATTTTGCGAAATGCAATCTATGAAAATTTATGTGAGGAAATGAATTTATGATAGAACATTTGATGGAAAACATTGGAAAATGTGTCTTTTTAACATGATTTTTCGTGGATAGCAAGTAACAAAATTCAAACCTACTCTATCTTAGTTTGGTGAGATTTTATGCTCAGCATATCATATCCTCAGTTATATGTCATTGACTGAGTTGTGGCGCAAATTGTGTACAACCCGACTTTATTTCCGTCCATTCGAGCACAATAGTGTGCGATGGCAAGTACACAAATCGAAGACGTAGCGGAATCACCGAATGCGAAATGTCATGGCAGTACTTCAACCGAATCAGCTCAATCACAAAGGTATGTCATCAAGCATAAATCGATTTCGCCAACAATGACACCAAAGAACTCACCTTTGCGAATCGATGATTTGATAGTGTTCATATTTAAAAATATCATTTGTTCTTTCTCAGGTTACATCAATCGAAAATGGACAACGCAAATACATCGTCTAATGAAAACGAAGTGACCGTTTGTATCAGTCAACGAGAATATGCCCGTCTCTTACTGACTGATTTGGAATGCATCAAAGCAAACGAAAAAATCAACCGTTTAAAACTCAAGTGCCAAGCAAAAGCAAAAGAAGTCAAACAGTTACAAGACTCACTCTCTTACCACAAAGAGAAATTATCGGAGTCAACAAAACACTCACAACAGGAATGACCGTGAAATTTCATTTACTAGTCGATATATCGCTATTCATATCTTACAATATAACTAATTTATACAATCGAAATAAACAAAAATGTTCTGTTTATATGGTAAGATGGATGCTGTTGGTCTCCTAAGCCATTCACACTTTTTAAGGATTCATTTTTGCCGTTTCTCTCTTCGCCTTATCAGCCAACCATTCCTCTTCGTGTTGCTGTTTTCTATGTTTGTACATGTTTGGCCTCCAAATGAACGTCTCATCACAAAAGGTGCACTTGTAGCTGGTCTTGTTCAGATGCGTTGCGATGTGGTCCTAAAGTAAATGTCGAAATTTTCTTTAAAAGTGTCATAAACGACAAATTTGGTACGAAAATACACACCTTCAGTGTTGCTTGTGACTTGAACGACTTCTCGCATAAATGGCATTTAAATTTCAATTCACAGTGAACCATGCGAATGTGCTGTTTCAGCGCATTTGGATTAGGAGAAATTTTATCACATTGATTGCATTTCTGCGGCTCTGAATCGTGTGTCAATTTATGTTTAGCCAATTTGTATTGGTTCGAGTACCATCCGTTGCACACATTACATTGCCATTTGGGCTTTGAACTTCGGCTTGTGTGTGTTTCCTGATGGGCTTTCAGTTCCGCTTTCGTTTTGAATGTCTTAAACAAAAAGTAAAATATTAAAACCGATTGAAAATAGTTGGATCGCACTCCTCTGACTGATTTGAATTCGTCTTACCTTTGCACAGACCTCACAAATCTGATCGTGCTGTAGATCGTGTCTTCTACGATGGTTATTTAGATGTTTTTGGCTACGAAATCTATTTGGGACGATAAATACATTTTCTGATAATTTAATCATGATCATCTGAAGAATGATCATACATAATGCACTTGTACTCACCCTTTATCGCAAACAACGCAAATGAAATTGCGTTGTTTTTCGCTATTACGATTTTTATGTAATTTCAAGTGGTCTTTGAATTGATTTCTACTTTTAAACGACTTCTGACACGTGTCGCAATAATACTTATTTGAATGCCAATCATTGTGTTGTTTTAAACTGTATCGGTTTGGCAGCGATTTATTACAAACATCACATCTGTTTTGAATCGTTCAACAACAAATTATCATTTGAATTACTATAGTTTCAGTTAAATTACAGAAAACTCAAGTGAAATGTAAAGGTGTTTTAAAATTACCTGAAAATATCCGGATTATTGTGCCATGCAATGTGGTCTCTGATATGAGTTAATTTTGAGAACTTCGTCTGGCAGCACGATACCGACCCGACTAATTTGTGAATATCTAAATAATGTGATTGCATTTCTTTGAACGAGGTAAACGTTTTTACTGAACACAGATCGCACGAGGCATCGACATAGCTCGGTATCCCTATATCATTTCCATTGTTTTCATTACAATTCGTTTCAATCGATGAAGAGCTCGGTTGTATTGTTCCTGGATGTTTGAGTTCCATATGTGTTCTATGTAGTGCGTTGGTCGCAAAGTATCGGTCACAAATGTTGCATATAAATTGTTGTGATGATAAGGCATTATGCCGTTTCACGTGAGAAACGAGAGTATGTCGATGCATGTGTTCTAGCTTGCATACTCGACATCTGAAAAGTTCAGTGAAAAAACTCTCTCTATTATAATATCGTTAGTCGTCACTTGAAGTAAGCAATAGAATAAACTGACTGAAAAGAACATATTTATCGTTATAATTTTGAGTGTTTGAGTTCAACCTGAACGTGTCTGGATCGATGTGCCATTGAACGTGATCCAAAATTGTTTTTTTATTATACATTTTAGTTCCGCAACATCGGAGATAACCGTTCTCATTTTTATGTTCTGATGAATAGTGTATTCTGGCCATTGTGATACTATCAAGCTGAACATCACATTGTTCACATTTCCGATCGAAATATTTCTCGATTGTACTTTTTATCCGTACTTCGCTTGTATTGAACTCCATATATTTTATTTGGTTTATATAATCTGCAATGAAATCAGTCAATTTGAATACCAACAATATCCACAAGACTATTCAATATCAGACACGAGCTTGTACAATGAAAATTATTTACCTTCTAAACCATTCGAATGAGTCATTTTCAGGTGAAATTCCAAATGCTTTCGAGACTTGAAACTTTGAAGAAAAAACTTAGATTATGACGTCATTTTATTGAAATAAAGCATAAAATTACCTTTGATCACATTGATCGCATGGGAATTTCACTTTAGTTGCATGTACATTTAGAATGTGATATTCTAAGGAGCTGAATACGGTAAATACCTTCTGGCAAATATCGCACGTGAATTGGTTGAAATGTTTGAATTTGTGATATTGATAAGATTGATAAGTTTTCTTTACTTCTCCACAAATCTGGCATCTGTTTTTTTGACAATAAAGAAATATGTTTTATTTATTTTACTCTTCCCAACTTTATATTGAATTCCACTGTTGACTCATCTAGAATCTTTTACTGACCTCTCTTTTAAATAAATACGATTTTTGTATCTAGATATAGATACAGATTTTTGAAAATTTTCATTTCATATCTAGATGTAGATATAGATAAATATCTGAAATTTTATCTAGATATCTATCTATAAATTAAAGATTTCTTGATTTTCCTCTAAAATGTTTGGAGCGAAAAGATGATGTTTTTTTCGAAAAAAAAAAAATGATAAGAGTTTTCATTTCTACAATTGTTTTGTATAATCGAAAATGAATAATCAATATAAAATCATCCGTTAAGTAATTCCCAAGTCGAATTTTACGGGGTTTTGCTATTTTCATTAATTTTTTGTGTATCCAAACACAGTACGACACATGTTTTTTTCTCCTGTCCGTGAAGAGCCCTTCACAGGTCTGAAAGAAGGCCTCAAATAATGAAGAACTGCATCATTACTTTTTGAAAGGTAGCTCGTTTAAGCGATTTATTAAATTCGGCGTTTTCAGTGTTCAGCTTATTGTCAAAGTTACTTTGCATGCCATTTACTCCCATTTCTGATGGTTTTACGCATATGATCACTTCTACAAAAATGTTCAGCGGACAATTTTACATAGAAATAGGCTTTCCAGATCCGAAATTTATCACTGATAGTGTCAAACATGGTCAGAAATGTCCAAAATGACCGAAAATGTATGAAAATCACGAAAAATCGACTTTTCTTGAAAATTTCCTCAAATATACACTTTTAAGGGTTGGTGCCTAGATGAAAAGTTATTTTTTCTCGAAAAAAAGAGAGTCTTCTCAGTCAAAAATCCTCAAAAGTAGCAATTTTAGGTACCTCCCGAACAGAAGTGACATTTTTCATGGATTTTGCTATGAAATTATCATGTTTTGTTCGAGAGGTACCTCTAAAAGTCACTTTTGAGCATTTTTGACTGGGAAGACTCTCCTTATTTTCGAGAAATAATAATTTTACATCAAGACACCAACCCTGAAAAGTGTATATTTTAGGAAATTTTCAAGAAAAGTCGATTTTTCGTGATTTTCATACATTTTCGATCATTTTGGACATTTCTGACCATATTTGACACTATCAGTGATAAATTTCGGATCTGGAAAGCCTATTCCCATGTAAAATTGTCTGCTGAACATTTTTGTAGAAGTGATCATATGCGTAAAACCATCAGAAATGGGAGTAAATGGCATGCAAAGTAACTTTGACAATAAGCTGAACACTGAAAACGCCGAATTTAATAAATCGCTTAAACGAGCTACCTTTCAAAAAGTAATGATGCAGTTCTTCATTATTTGAGGCCTTCTTTCAGACCTGTGAAGGGCTCTTCAGGGACACGAGAAAAAAAACATGTGTCGTACTGTGAAATATCTGTGATTTTCAGATATATAATCATTTTCATACATCTAGATAGATACTAGATAATCTGAAGATTTGTAATAACCTGATATAGATTTAGATATAGATACATATCTATTTAAAACACTGTTACTGACTCACTTGAACAATTCTGGATTTAAATGCCACACAATATGGGAATGGAAATGATAACGTCGTAACCATTTCATTGAGCAACATTTTACATAGCCTTTGGGCTGATTGTTATGCTTCACTTTATAATGTTGGATGGCTCCTTCGAATGTTCCAAAAGTCGTGTCACAATAATCGCAACTCATGTCGCAGTATTGGTCATAAGTTTGCTGTTGTTGTTCGGGGCTGACTTCACTGATGTTCCGTGGACGTCGAATGCCTTTGCCACTCTCTGGCAGCTCACTGCGATCAATCAGTTCATCATAAGTTTCACTACTACCATCGTCCTCATCACCAACTGAGAATCCCTGTTCAATCCCTGACCCATAATGAAGTTTGCTTTCTTTTAATGCCATATTCTCAACTCCTTCATCCATTATCATATTGACGGGCCTCAATGGGTCAACACAAACCATTTCCTGATGGACTGGCTCAATATTTGAAACTGCGTATTCTGAAAAATTTAGACGAATCATGGACCAAATGTAAATGGCGAAGAAATGAAGAAATTTACCACCATAGTCTTCATCTTTGACCGCACTGTTGAGGTGTTGTCGCAGATACTCTTCGCGCAATGCGATGACCTCTTCGGAAAACTTACGAAATGATTCAACTTTGTCCCAACATTCGATGCAAATTATTTTTGGCAAAATGTCCAAATTGTTGACCTTCAAGGATTAAGAGTAGTTTTCTTATAATTATGGTCATTTGTTGGAATGTGCCGGTTTCATCGAGGCTTACCTCGTCGTGAAAATACTGTTTCAGTGAGTCGACTATAGTCGGCATCGATGCGGAATTCTCGATTATATCAAAGTATTCAACAGCTTGTGTATAACACAAACGACATTGATTAGGTTCTTTCTTCACTTCCATCTTGTTATATTTTTCTATTCAAATTAAAACCGCAAAATTCAACTAAAATTGTTCTCATGTGAATGTTTTGTTTACAATGTGTCAGATTGATATTGTTCTGAAGAGATGTGTCAAATTCAAAGTGTAGTTTAACGATAGTTGATATCAGATGGAGCTTCGGTTCTGAATGAGGAGCGAAATTTGAAAAGTGCAACATATATTAGTAATGGATACTTTTTACCGTTACATGAAACGTACATTGTAAATTGTACATTAAATGTAAAAGGTACTATCTTCGTTTTTTTTCTTCCTCGGGGTTCAAAACTTCGGATTTTTTAATTAATTTATTTTATTTAACACCGCCAAACTCTGGCTGAATATAATGTGGGTTTTGATTAAGGTTTGGCCGGAAAACAATGCAAGACTATTACATATTTAAAATAATAAACAATTGAAGCAATAACCTTCGATAACTTTCAGTTCTCGCCTCGTTAAAAACCTGGCTCTTTTCGTACATTATGCGGTAATCACAATAATAGGAACATGAAAACGAAGATAGTCATACAACCAAGATGGAAATGCTTAATATTAGTCTATGGCAAACGGTCCAAGATAACTTTTGGTAAACGTTTCAAAAGGGACAAAGGCTATGTGAAGCGTTTAATTACACGTTTAATTTGAGACCCTAGGACAGCAAAAGTCGTCGCTCAATTTATACCGGTTGATAAATTGACGAGAAGTTTTACGTCAGTAAAGGCAGATCCATGTTGATTGCAGAGTGCATTGAGTTGACATGGACTATGATTTGAAACGTAGCTAAAGCATTTGATGCTAATTGGTAAATAATTCAAAATTGACTTCAAAGATAAGAATATGAAGTCGCCAACTCGTGGATGACTACAACAAAGCAAAAAATCAAAATTTACAATAAAAAGTGTAAACATCACAGATAAGTATCATCATTTCAATACACATAAAAGAATGTATGGAAAACAATTCGTCAGTCTTTTAGTATTGATTTTGCTGTGTGATTCGTGCGAGGTGAGTTGAATACCACGTAGGTGGTTGAGACCTGGGACAGCCCCGCTCGTGTTCGTTGCAATCAGCAGCAACCCAAAGAATGACACCTGGGCAATATGCGTTGTCCTTGATGAATTCGTCCGCTTGAGATCATGGATCGGTTTTAACGGCAAAATGAAAATCGCAATTTCATAATTAATGTGGGTAGTATCAAGGTGTTCTCGTAGAGAACATATACAAAAATGAGGTTACCTGGATAAAAAAATGACCAGGCCAGGTGGATCCAAAAGTGGTGTCCGCCATTCTGCGAACCGATGATGCAAAATTCGTCTTTGAGATCGCTGCTGTGAACAGTTCCGGCACCATGTTCGCCATTTTGCACATTTGAGGAATTGGAGCCTCGCGCACTAGCCTCATGTGTTTGTCATTGACCTTAAATTGTTTGCTGTGTCTCAATGAACGCCCTTGATTAAATGAGACTTGGTCACCAACCGTTGGACAGTTAGCGTTGCCGTTTATGATGTCGTAGAAAAAATCCAATGACGCGTATTCATAGAATTTACCTATAATGCACTTTTGATGTTCTATATTTTTCTAAGAATTATGAAATTAACTATGTCAAATTATCTGGGATAGAACTACCAACTCATAAAAATATGAAAAACCACAATTTTGGTGTCGAACGATCGAAAAACTTGAAAAAAATAATGAACGGATCCAAAAACACATGCGCACATTAACGTGCGTAACTCAAATACGCACTGACATTTTTGAGTGTTCAGTATTTTTCTGCAAATCTACGTTACATTACCTTTCGATTGGTATAAGTGCGAGCCAAATCGGTTGAGTGGAAGTATGTTTTTAATCGTGTACAAAAATGTGCTACGCACAATAATAATCATGGATTATTTTAGGTTTTTTTTAGAACGGACCAGAATTTCGAAAAAATACAAGGGGTGTTCTTTAACTATTGTGCGAACGAAGTTTATTTAAAGTATCAAAAATACTAAAATCCAGTGATTATTCAAACAAATGTCGGTTAATCACGATATTGGCCTTCAACAGTTAAACTAGTAAATTCAAACATATTTAAGGTGGTTAAAAAGTTAAAATTAGGCGGGCGTAGCGGAGCGAATTTTTTTTATTCAACTACAATCAGTCCAGCGTTGTCATATGGTTGATAAAAACTGAATCTATTAAAGTGTAGGCCAGAGATTACTATGAGATATTTTTATTCATATGGGATAGAAATATCGCATAAAAATATCAGATATTTTTCATGCGTTGCGTTGTTGTAACGCATCTGCAGTACAAAATTCATATTCCTTTCTGCGTGCCAAGTCAATTTTGCTGAATTCGGCTCGGATCAGTCTCAAATTCGACTTGGACCGCAGAAAGGAATATGAATTTTGTACTGCAGATGCGTTACAACAACGCAACGCATGAAAAATATCTGATATTTTTATGCGATATTTGTATCCCATATGAATAAAAATATCTCATAGTAATCTCTGGTGTAGGCCCATCTTAGATGCTCGAATAATGTCGCTTTTGAATGATGTATTAATCAAATAAATAACTTCAAGGCTTTTGGAAATGCCAATATGCCAAAGATGACCGATATTTGAATTGCGAAGCTTGTTTCGATTGTCAGAAACGACGAGACCAAAATTTCATCATGTCTTACAAATGGCCAAATTACTATTTGTGTAGTGTTTTAAGAGTTCTAAACGATGACATGTTGAATTTAGTACTGGACACAGTGATACACGTTTTTCTGCTTATTTAACGTATAAGAACGCCACAACAAGAATTACCGTTTTTTTAGAAGAACATTTTAGAATTTATAAACAAGTCTGGTGTTCGGCAGATTCATAAAAAGCGAACAATCAACACATGAAAGTGTGCAGTCGATGATAGCTGATTACATATTGCAATAAGACTATTTGCAATAATCAGCAAAATATGTTTGCTATTTCGCTGTCTACCAATATGTCGAAATTTAACTCGTTCTCTACCAAGTGTTCGAAAAATTAAAAAATTTATATGGGAAATAAAGTGTTCGGAATAAATGGTTTAAATTCAGTCATTCTGAAAGATAAAATTTCGAAAAATTGCTTAAGAAAAGGTCAAAACATGATCAAACTAATGAAGACTTACGGACCATTTTTCGATTTAGAGCGGACCATTTGACTTTTACAACGGACCATTTGGACAAGAACGGACCATTAAAATAATTCATGCAATAATATATACCTAGATAAAGTGGTAAATGTGGCTTCCTCGAAGACTCTAAGAAGTCCCGGAGATTCATGTTAGTATCGCAAATATTCGATTTAAAAATCGACTTAACTGAAAATGCATGAAATTATGACCGAGGGGCAAACCACTCAAAAGTAATACTGTGTATTAGTATTAGTTTAAGTAATACTAATGTAAATATTACCTTGTATTACTTTAGTATTACTTTTTTCAAACAATAGTATTATTTTTAAAAGGAGTATTACTTTATCAAAAGTAATACCATTTATACCTAGTATTACTTCGTATTACTTCATGCAGGTATTATGTATTACTTTTGAGTGGATTGCCCCTTGATTATGACACGTACAGCAAAACAAAATTGCTTACGACTGAATTCGAAAACAAATTATTTGAAAACATGTTCTTAATTCGATCTTCTTGCGTCAATACTCGCGTTTTGTTAATTTTTCCAATTATTGGTGGTTGAAATACACAGGTGCAGGTGTTTTGATATTTAAATGAACTCATTATTCGCCTGGAATTTTTCATAACTAGGAACCACAAGCTCCAATGAGGAACAAATTGTCTAAAAAAAAATTGTTTCTGAAATCAGCCAGAAAAATGTGTTACTCATGTGGTTTGCATGCGCAATTTCCCATGCGTCAATACGAGTTCATTCACATATCTAAACATTTGCACCTGTCAAAATAACAAAACGCGAGAATTGACACAAGAAGCTCTAATTAAAAACATGTTTTCAAATAATTTGTTTTCGATTTCAGTCATAAGGAATTTTGTTTTGCTGTACGTGTCATAATGATGACAAGTTTGCAACATCTAATTTTTGACTATAAATGATACACCGAATTCGTGGAAATTTAGTTATTGTTCAAGTGATTTGACTATAAACATGTCTAAGCAATTGATGGGTGAGTCTCTTCTTACCAGTAAAGGTCCCTCATTTTCAAATTTTTTTTTCGCAAAATTTGAATTGGATTCGTTAAAGGGATCGAAATGAAGACGATTGGTGCCTTTGGTATCGTTGCGAAATTTTTTGTTGCCTCCCTAGAGCCCCATGTAGGTCCAAGCCTCTCCTCTATGAAAATAGCGTCTCATCGATATATTTTTGCTTATATCTCGTGAACGGACTGTGATTTTGCTTTACTGTCTTCAGCAAAGTTGAAAGTCTTGATACGAGAAACAACTTTGCCGAAGCTCCCAACGTCCCCAGACCCTCCCTTTGGGATTAAAAACCTTCCCAAATTTGGAAAAAGTTGATTTTTTCGCAATTTTCACCTTCTATCTCAGAAACGGCTCAAAATTTTTTTGTGCCGTCTTCGACAATATTGTAGGTCTTGTGGGGAACAACTTTGCTGAACACGTCAACCCCCCACAACCCCTCCTTCAGGGTCAAAAATACCCCCAAAGTTGAAAAAAATGATATTTTTGCAACTTTTCGTTATATTATCGACTTTTATCGATAAATAACGAAAATATTTATTATAATTATATCAAAATTAATTGCATTTTGCCACAATAATTATAATTAATAACTTCCCAGCCAGAAAAACGTATTTTTCACTAATAAATCCTATAATTTGCCGTGTCAGTTGGTTGCATTAAAGTTGTTTGTGAGATTGTATACAATTTTAAATACAGTGGTGAAGTTACAATCCTTCTTCAAGTGCTCTGTAAAAGAAAGCAAAGAAATTGATTAGATAATTGGTTTATCTTTCAAGCTCCAGTCTGTATTTTCACTGGCTGCTGACAGTCATAAATAAGCTGGGTTTTTCTAACAATATAACATTGATAATATAGCGAATATAAAAAACATACAAATCAAAAATAGTTATTATAACTATTCTATAGTCTAAAAATTAAATTATCTTATATTTAATTATCTTAAATTGGTGAGTAAATCAATATCATACAAGTAAGCAAGCAGCAAGAAACAAATCAAGTCAGTTAAAAGGCAACAAAAACGCGAGTTAATTCGAGCAAAAAAGTAAGAAAAAAGCAGTTCAACTATGGCTACATTAAAGCCTAGGGGGATTTAACTACGTGAAAACTTGTAAAAAAATGATATAAACGCGCACGAAATCGTTACATTCACCAGAGATTTTGCATGATTCCACTCAGTTCACAAGTTCCGCATTAAAACAACATGCGCGAACTTGTGCGAGTTCGTGTGCAAACATGAAGCTGGACGACGCGCACACATCAGTCGTTCCATTTATTACATCTGGATTAACTTTTTCTTCCAACACTTTCTCCAGCTCTTTAAAAATATTTCCTTTGTCCATTTTATAATTATATAAATCTTTGAACTTTTGGAAAAGGATGTAAAAAATCTTTATACACGTAAACAACCGATTTTTAGTTTGAAACGCGTTTTAGTTGTCAAATAACAACTTGAAAAACGCGCAAAACCATAAACAAACTTGTGTAAACTTGTGACCGTGCGCGTCAGTACGTACAACGAACGCGTCGAACTTCCGCGAATCAAGCAAACTGGCAGAAAACATGCTGCACTCGTAAGAGTTAAATTCCCCTAGATTAAAGCTTGAAAGAAAAAGATGTAATAAATGAAATTCAACCATAATATACCTACAAACATGTGCACACATGTTTATCAACGACTAGAAATGCATGTAGAAATGGCCAAGATTAGTTTAAAATATTGCACTAATAGAATCATACTCTGAATCTAAAATCACTATGTGAATTGATTCTAAATAAACTACTCTACATAATCTGAACAAAAATGTATCTCGTCATCGAAGAAGTAGTGGAATTCACAGAGAAATAACTTGCACTAACCACATCGAATAAAAGCAGAATGATTAGATCGGTCACAGAGAGAACATTTTTCACGATATGTATCCATATCGAAGCAAAATCTAGTTGGAGAAGTATATAGAATTTGGTCTGATATATCCACACGATTTCCACGCATGAGCAATCCAAGAATTGAAACGCGGTGAATCAAACTGATTCAAAAGAAGGACTTGCATTATATCGATCGCATCTCGAGTACTTAATCGAATTCGGTTAGTAATTCGATCATCGTCTTCTAGATAAGCTTCCGACATAATACGAATCATTTGTTTGAGAGTGCGATTCGGCTCTTTATCGAGAGGTTGACATTTACTGGTTGTACCGGGAGGAATATACTCAATAGAGTATCTGAAGTCGCGTGGTTTGTTCGCATTGAAATTGGCAGCATTTTTATGAAGAATGAAAGAATCCAGTAGAAGTGTACATCCATTAGTGCCGTTCGCTTTGAAGAAAATTTCAGTGGCCCATTCCTGAAGTAGATATCTAAAGTGACTTTGCCAGAACTAGTAGTGCGAACCAAGATTGAATCGTGTGTAAACATGGACTTTAAAACTCTTTTCCCAAACTCTCCAGTAGGAGTTTTATGAACGATTAACGTGGGCTTAATAAGACGACCGTCACCGGAAATCAAGGGCATTACAGTATAAGAATGTTTCAAAGAGTTTTGAGCAACAACCAATGCTTCCACGTGACGAGTACCTTTAACTTCTAACGTGCGTTCAGAGTATAATTCTATTTTAAAACCGGTCTGATCACTATTGAAAATGCGAGCAGGGTCCGAAGCGTAAATGGGCTTAATTTTATTGATAAAATCTTTTGCACTTTGACTTACCGAAACTTCTTCAGCTTCGTCTTTGCGGGATAGCTGGCGAGTGATTTTGCGCGAGACGATGTTATGCCGGTATTTGAAATTCAATAACCAATGATGCGATGCTCGAAAGTTCATATCCAATTCGCGCCCTTTCTCCATCGCCCAGCGAGTCAGATTTCGATCATGTACCCGAATTCGTTTTCTGCGATAATTCTTGAATTTGTCGAAGACATACCGGTCGATTTGAATAAGTTTGTCCGTTTGAGTACCACCTGAAAGAAATTGATTGAAATAAATATGAATTCAACATGAAATTGAGTATGATATGGTTAAAAAAATGTACATAAAATTGTATATTACCTGCTGCGAATAGATTTTCCCAGTTATACAAAGTCTTCAGGTTGTTCAGGTTAGGGTAGCGACGCTTCATTTGCTCCGAAGATTTATTTTTTTTTGCAGATCGATAAAATTCCAAAATTTCTTTCTTCTTCTCCAAAGACGGATATGGATCATCGCGGGTTTTTGTCACTTTCATCAACGGCACGAATACTTGATTCTCTTCCGCGGCTAATGTATCCTCAATATCTTCATCTTCGTCGCTGTCGTCTTCTATTGGTTGGAATAGTGCAAAACGTGAACCTGTAAAATGTATGAAAATGATAAAAATTGCTTGAATTGAAGAAAAAAATGTACAGAACATACCCGTAGCGCGTGCGCTTTCAAAAACATCGTCTTGCACCATGTCCATTTCGGCCACATTTTCATTATTGGCTTGTTCTATATTTCAAAATAAAAAAGAAGCAAACCATTTAAAAAAGTCAATTTCGAAAAATGTATTAACAAAATTCAAGAAATTACCATTTGCAACAGTGACTCCTTGAGAGCGTAGAAATTCCGCAAATGCTTCCTTAAATCTGTCTTCCTTCGACGGACTTACATCCCACAAAGATTTATCGAGCACGTCTCCAATATATTTTCTTACGTTATCCATAATGCCAATATAGTCAAACAATTTCAAAACAAAGAACAAAAATTAACAGATTTATAAGCAATAAATATAGTGTGAGTGTTAACAAAACAAACTTACCGTTTGATGTCTGATTCAAAATAGAGGAAATTCAATGACAGTTCACTTGTCAGTGACACTTACTGTCGGTATTAAGCATGGTTCACATTTCATGTATTCATATTCACCACATAATGTCGTATTAACATTGTCAATATGAATTATAAGATTACGTAATGGTTAATAATTACACTTTTTGGCATTAATATGTTCTGGGAAGTTGTTAATTATAATTATTGTGGCAAAATACAATTAATTTTGATAAAATTATAATAAATATTTTCGTTATTTATCGATAAAAGTCGATAATATAACGAAAAATTGCAAAAATATCATTTTTTTCAACTTTGGGGGGATTTTTGACCCTGAAGGAGGGGTTGTGGGGGGTTGACGTGTTCAGCAAAGTTGACCCCACAACAAGACCTACAATATTGTCGAAGACGGCACAAAAAATTTTGAGCCGTTTCTGAGATAGTGGGTGAAAATTGCAAAAAAATCAACTTTTTCCAGATTTGGGAAGGTTTTTAACCCCAAAGGGAGGGTCTGGGTTGGTTGGGAGCTTCGGCAAAGTTGGTTATCTTATCAACACCTTCAACTTTGCTGAAGACACAAAAGCAAAATCTCAATCCGTTCACGAGATATAAGCAAAAATATATCGATGAGACGCTATTTTCATAGAGGGGAGGCTTGGACCTACATAGGGCTCTAGGGAGGCAACAAAAAATTTCGCAACGATACCAAATGCACCAATCGTCTTCATTTCGATCCCTTTAACGAATCCAATTTAAATTTTGCGAGAAAGAAAATTTGAAAATGAGGGACCTTTGCTGGTTAGTTCTTTTTTCCATCATTTTTTTTAAATTTTCATTTTTGACAATACTTGAGATTTCAGTCGCTCATTGTCTTTTAATCAATATTTTCTCTCCGTTTAGTTTGTTTGGTTCTGGTTGCGGTTTTCCGAGACCAATTCATGGTAGCTTACAAATTTTTCTGTATATTTTTTGTATTGTGTCGATCGATGACATGAAGAGTATTTTTTCATTTTTCATACAAATTGACTTTTCGAAAACGAAGGAAAACCAAAAAAATACCACACGATTCATTACCCCAAATTTAAAGCAATATCAATTTTATATTGGCAAATGTTTTTTTTTTTTTTCAAAAATCCATTAATTTTACATTTCAATTCATTCAATTTGGTTATTCCAAACTAAGTACCATATATGCGTTCCTATTTTTCAACTTGAAGCAAATTGAATGTGTTGGTGGATGTGGATTGGTTGACAAAGCAATGGGAGCCATGAAACAAGGTAAGATTGAAGCTAAATTTCTTTTCAATGTTTCATTCTCTCTATTCGACATACGAAGCACCGTTTGATGCGTTTTCCATCAATCTAACAAAGAATCCAGCCCAAAACAACCAAAACTCAATTGATTCAAACCATTCATGACGAATTTGTTGCATTTTAGAAAATACAAAATGTAACGTTACATTTAACATTCGTTTGACGTATGATTAGATTAAGAAAAAAAACAACGCGTTGAATCATCCATTCCAATCGTCATTGTGATATTCGTATTCTCTATCAAGTAATTATCAGTTCGAAATGAGCATTTGTCTCTGACGGCATTGTTGTTTTTTTCAGAATACTACACCAATACGGAATTGTTTTTTTCAAAAGTGTAACGTGAAATATTCGCTTCAATAAAAGAAAAAGAAAAATTTTCTGGCTGAATTGGGGATTTATATTTTTTAAAATAGGCTAAATATAAGCTTATGTTATGGGTTCTCGAGATAGGATACCTTATTTTTACTGTGGAATTGAAGAAGTCCGCCAAATAACTGAACACTCATTGCCCTATCATTTTAGACCAGAAAGTGTGGAAAAGTTCATCTCACGGATGTAAGACATTTTCCTTTGATACACTTCACTGATCTATTTTCCTTCTTTCAATTTTTAGTGAACAAAAAAGACGAAAGCGGCCGAACAGCTCTTCATCTCGCTGCTGAGAGTGGTAGCTCTGGAAAACTAGGCTCACCAAATCGGAAATTGATTGAATCTATTTCATTGATCTGTTTCAGGTAATTTGAAGGACGTTAAAAAGCTAATTGCGAGAGGAGCGGAAGTTGATTTGACAGACAATCATCAGCGCGAACCTCTTCATTTGGCTGCTATGAATGGTAATGTTGCACATTTATTATCACAAAACAAGAGATTTGTTGGATTTTGTTCATTGATCGGTGTTCTTTTTCAGGTTCTAAGGATGTCGTTGACAATCTCATCACGAATGGAGCCAATCTTAATTCTGAAGATTGCGTTCATCAGACACCTCTTCATCATGCTGCTATAAGGGGTAATGTTGAATATTTATTTTCGATAAATAAGAAATTAGTTTGATCTTATTCATTGACTGGAGTAACTTTTCAGGACACAAGGATGTCGCTGAAAAAATCATCACGAAAGGAGCCAATCTTGATTTAGGAGATCGCTATGATTTGACACCTCTTCATTATGCTGTAATAAAAGGTAATGTACAATATTTATTTACACTAAATAATAAATTGGTTTGATCTTTTTCATTGGTCTGTACTATTTTTCAGGCCACACGGATGTCGCTGAACTTCTCATCGACAATGGAGCCAATCTTGAATTAAGAGATCACAATGATGAGACACCTCTTCATCATGCTGCAATGAGAGGTAATTTTGAATATTTATTTACACTAAATAATAAATTGGTTTGATCTTTTTCATTGGTCTGTACTATTTTTCAGGCCACAAAGATGTCGCCAAACTGTGCATCGATAAAGGAGCCATTGTTGATAGTAAAAATAGAATGAAACTTACACCTCTTCATGATGCTGCAATGATGGGTAATGTTCAATATTTATTTACACTAAATAAGATATTGGTTCAAAATTGCTTTGATCTTTTTCATCGATTTGTATTATTTTTCAGGTCACAAGGATGTCGTTGAATTGCTTCTCAAGAATAAAGCCAATGTTAATTCGGAAGATTATTTTCATCAAACACCTCTAGATCGTGCTATTTACAATGGTAATGCAGGATGTTTATTTTCAGAATATTCACAGAGAACTAAAATTTTGTCCACAAAAGGTCAAAGAAAGTGGTCAAACCCATAGAAAGATAAAAAATATTCGTGTGGTTAAAATAATACAGTCAGTAAAATAGATCAACCACAAACTTCAAAGTCAATTTTACTTCTCAATTGACTTTCTCGACACCTCAGTTACTTTTACCGCCGCAAAGACAAAACAGATATTTTTTTTGACTTTTTTCATGGATTGGACCGAATTCTTTGACCTTTCACGGACAAAATTTCAACTTTTACTTTAGTGTGAGTAAGAAATTGGTTTGATCTTTCGAACTGTATTATTTTTCAGGCCACACGGATATCACCAAACTTCTCAAGGCCAATGGAGCCGTTAAATCAAATGAAAATTGAAGATTGTATCATTAAATCAAATGAAAATTGTACGATGCACACTCCAATGGATCAACGCAGTGAAGATGAGACATCACATTCAAATAAAATGTTTGTTGAAGAAATCCAACGAAAATTCACTCTTACCGATTTTTTGTTTCTGTTTTATACATCCCAGATTATAAATACTTATTTCCGTGTGTGTACACTGTACATTCATTGGAATCTCAGAATAATTGAAAAGCTGTCCATATCTCTATAGAAAGTGTTACTTATAATTATAAGACAATGGTTTCGTTGGGCTTGAAAGTGAACCGTAAAATATCTGTGGGCTATAGAAATCGTGTTTCACTTTAATTGAAGCAAAAATGTTCGATAAACTTTCAAGTCCATTGGAATGAAAGTTTTTCTCCTGAAAAACAAGCCAATTTTCAGAGTTTTTGTCTGGTAAGACTCCCCAAATTTTCGAGGAAAAATAACTTTGCACAAAGACACCCTCAAGGCCTATACTTAAGGAATTTTTGGCCAAAAATCGATTTTCTGAGAGTTGAAATCGAACCAACCGAATATGCGGCTAAAAATATATGAAAACATCACTCGACTTGGTCATGTAGGTACTTAAAATGTTCGTGAGGGATCATACTAGATGTTCAAAGGTAGCAAAGTCAGAAATTGTTTGCTCAATGGGGTGATTTAGCCGTGAAACTGAAGCTCATGGTCGTGATTTGCACAATTTGGTCCCAGAAAATCGTACTTTTTGACACAAAAATCGCACAAACCTGTAACAAATGAAACTAGAAATCGATCCCTCGTCTAAAATTGGGTGGATATAGACACATTTTTGTAAGTATGTCGGCTATAATTTGGCTTTCTAAGCGACATAATTGAAAACAAGACCGCAGAACTTCGCTTCGCTCCGCTCTGCGTTCTTGAGTTTTTAGTTACTTAATCTATTTTGTTGTTTCACATCAAACTATTTTTTGGTGCACTACATGAAATGTATTTCATCAAAGTAACTTTGAAGTAATATATTTATTTTCAAAATGAATTACAAGATCTTGGTTTAATTTCTTTTTTGAAATATACTGCCTTTGGTTTAAATTAAATAAGAGCATAGAATCTAAAATCACTTTAATTCTGTTCAAGACTCAGAAAATATTATATTTTAAACAACATTTAATAATAAAAATTTGATTGGCGCTTTGAGATATTATGCACCTATTTGTCGTTACTGCCACTGTTTTAAATTAAATAAAAAATATGAGCATAAAATTCAAATTCACCATAATTTGTTTCAACACTCAAAAAGTATCTAGAAAAAAAAGCAGATTAGTAGCTCTACATTTCATTTAGTGCTAAAAAATGGCCAAATTTGAGGTGATTTTCGAATATTTGTTGCTCTATTCATGTCCAGAGGCACATTTTGAGTTGTGATATGGCGTTATATCGATAGCTAGGAACACACTGAGTCGGATAGAGGTATTTTCAGATTGATTTATAGTGGGCTGGATCACCATAAATGGGCAAATATACAGAAAATGGCCATTTTCGACAATTTTGGGCAAATTGGCACTATTTTTTTTGAATATTCTGGAATAAATCGCTGTGAATCGATCCTATTCAACGTAGTTTGTTACGAGCTGCCGAATTACGGCAAAAAACGGTATGTTTATGCATCACATTTAGAGCAAATTGCGATAATATGTCGAAAAATTGTCATTTTTCAGTTGATTTTCTAAAAAGGCCGGGGTGACACCAGGCACCATATATCAAAAAAGTGCCAGAACAAAATTTTCATCTCTCCTCATGATCTATCGATCCCGCGCTATTAAATTTTGAATCCATTTTTTCTTAAAAATTGATCACCCCTAATGTACATATGTCTCAACCTTTAAAAATGATCGCATGTGCCGGACGTAGAAAACGACACAGTGTTAAATCTATTGAACATAAACAGACACAAAACGCACCCACAATATATTTACTATAGGAATTTCGACACATTCTGCACAACTAATACACATATAGCTGCACAGTTAATAATATACAGGGTGGCGCACTCGAAGTGTAATGGCTGTAATTTTTTTATTTATGATTATTTTCTATACATCCAAAAGTGAAAAATGTTTGAAAATAATTAAAATTTTAGAATTCATGTCATGCTTTCGATTTGTTTTCCTTTGGCTCGAATAATGGCAGTCAAACGGTCAAAAAATGAGTTGCACGCTGCACGAATCTGAGATTCTGGAATTCGCTTCCATTCCCGGAGTATGGCTGATCGCAAGCTGTCGATACTTTGGTATTTTTTCTTACCGACCATGTCCTGTAATATGCCCAAGATTGAATAATCTAATGGATTGGCATCAGGAGAATATGGCGGCCATTGATCCCTCGAAATGAAGTTCGGTACGTTGTTTCTGAGCCATTCTTGGGTTTCGTTCGCTTTGTGCGACGGTGCAGAGTCTTGTTGGAATGTGTACGATATTTCTTTGAAATGTTTTTGTGCCCATGGCTTCAACACTCGTTCCAAAACAGTTTGACGGTACAACAGAGCATTTACCTTGATGCCATTTGGCAAAAAAACCAACGGAGAGCGGCCATTGGCCGTTATGCCGGCCCAAACCATTATCTGAGGTGGCGCTTGCTGTCTGGTGGCCGAACGAAGGCTAAAATTGTCGGACGATGTCTTTGCTAGATAAACCCGATCATTTTGTTTGTTAACGAATTGCTCAATGGTGAAATTTTTCTCATCCGAAAAGACAATGTTTGGCAAGCCGCCATTTGCGTGCAACCGCTTCAATGCCTTCGCTCTTTCAACTCGTACTTTCATTCGCTCCGGTGTAAGATCGTGACATTTTTGTATCTTCAAGGGCTTGAGTTTGAGCACATTTCTCAATATGCGTTGCACGCTTCGCCTTGATATTTTCAGCTCTTTGGCCATTTTTCGTCCGCTTCGTCTCGGATTCCGCTCGACTCGGGCCCTTACTCGCCGAACCATTTCTGGTGAGGTTGCTGTTTTTTTCCATCCACCACCATGACGTTTTTTGGTGCTGCCGGTTTCATTGTAACGTTTTATTGTGCGGTGAATAAATGTTATGTTCCCATTCAGATGTTCTAGCTGTCTAAAAATGTCTTTTTGCGACTTCCCTTCCAAATAGAGCGCAATCACACCGTTGCTTTTGACGTCCATGGCGATACTGTCGCACTGTGTGCATTTTTTTGCAAATGCGTAAATTATGTTGTAAACAACTCTTTGAGGTACCGTTATGCCAAAGGATGACACGCAATGCATTATAGTTTGGAAAAGAACAAATCTTCAAAATTAGTTACACTTCGAGTGCGCCACCCTGTATTATTATTTATACTATCGGTATTAACATCGCATGTTAATAATATATTTTTATTTTTATTTTATTTTCTTTATTGTGGAAAAAGTTTTATGCTACAATTAACAGGCCCTAAGCCCCCTTACAAATTGATAGCTGATTTCATTTTTGGTTTAGGTAATAATTTAAATTAAAATTAAAATGATTTTTTTTTTAGATTTATAATTGATTTGAGTGAATTAAGGCTGATTCAATAATTTATGTAAAAAAAAAAAAAAACAAATTGAATTAATTAGCAATGTTTATGGGCATTAGAGAATGCAAGCGTTATCGGAAGTTTCCCCATTGTTCTGGTGGAAGCGAGTGTATGATTGCACGTTTTACAGCGGATATTGAATTATTATATAAGTCAATGTCGTTGAAATAGTCATTGTGTTGTGTTTTAAGTCTTAATACGAAAGAGTACATTTCAACATTGGTATTGACAGCTCTCAAGTAAAATAGAGGCGTATGTCTCGTTGTGCGTATTAGATTGTGTGGCAATAGTTGAGAGGAGAGGTTTGTTTTCATTTTATTTGATACTATTTTGTACAGAAGGAGTTCGTCCGATAAGAGCCTTCTGTTTGCAAGAGAATGCATGCTGAGATGTTCAAGTCTAGATTCATAAGTACCCCTTGGAAGGTTGAATTTGTAACAAAGAATTCGCGTGAATTTTCTTTGGACATTCTCAATAGTAGTTGTATGAATGTGGTAAAAAGGGTTCCAGATTTGGCAACCGTATTCAAGTATGCTACGAACATACGTAAAATATAAAATCTTGTGTGTGTTGATGCCTTTGAATGGTTTAAGCGAACGACAGATGAAACCCAAAATTCGAGACGCGCGTAAAACAATTGACTGAATGTGATTTATGAATGAGAGTTTCTCATCAAATAAAATTCCCAAATCTTTAACAATACGTGAACGAATGAGCGGTGTGCCATTTATGTGATAATTGAAAAATTGAAATTTTCTTTCAGTACATCTGGTGAATGACATAACTGTACATTTAGATACATTTAGATTGAGTTTGTTAACGTTGCACCATTGAGTGAGTGCATCAAGATCTTTTTGAAGTAAAATGCAGCCCTGAATTGTATTAATCTTGCGAAATATTTTAAGATCATCAGCAAATAGAAGACAGAGAGATTTGAGATTCGATGGAAGGTCGTTTATGAATATCGCAAATAGAAGCGTAGATAATACGCATCCCTGCGGAACAGATGACGTAGGACAAATAGGTCTAGACTTCGTTCCGTACAGGCAGACTAGTTGCGTTCTATCAGAGAGGAATGACATTAGCCATGATTTAATGCAATTGTTGATTGGGAAGCTACTCAATTTGTTTATCAGTATTCTGTGGTTGATTTTATCAAATGCCTTGGCAAAGTCGGTATAAATCGAGTCAATCTGTCCACCACCGGGCATATTTGTTGACAAGTAATTCACATATTCAGCTAGATTGGTTATAGTGGACTTTCCATTAATGAACCCATGTTGTTGTGGTGTAATTTGATTGATGACTATTTCATTTAGGTGATTGTAGACTATTTTTTCAAAAATTTTAGAAATAGTTGAAATAATTGAAATTGGGCGATAATTTAAAATATCAGATTTATCACCGGTTTTGTGTATAGGCGTGAGTAAGCTAAGCTTCCATTGAGTAGGAAAAATTTTGCTCTGAAGTGAATGATTGAATAAAATTCTCAATGGAGCTACT